GGGGGTAACCACTTGAGACACAAAGGCACTCCTGGTAGGAGTTAGCGGCACCAGGGTGATTAAAGTCCTTATTAAAATAGGAAATGGCACTTCTTCAGAGAGCTTCAATGTACTGAGGGTCATCAGGCACGTGGGCAGTATCCCACCCTATTCTTGGACACCCCCAAGTGTCCGGGCACACGCAGGCCGGTTTGGAGAAGGTGTTTCCAGCAGAGAGTTTCTCCCGAGCAGAAGCTCCTTCCTACCTTCTATGTGTTCCACCAAGAGAGGGACCTTCTTGCTCCAAAGCTGGTCCAGCGTGGGGTGGACGCTGTAATGCAATACGTTCAGCAGACGCAGGGCAGCCGTCCCCCGGCAGTCTCCTACATACGGCTGTGAAGATACAACCTGAAAGTTTGGGGGCAGAACAAGGGGTGTTAGCGCAGAGAAAGTCATTTCCAGGTTGCAAGTCAGAAAATATGCAACAAAACACAGGGATGTAATATCGGGAAGTGATTGATCTCCACACTTCAATGAAACTACAGCTTTCGCTCCGGCTGTTGACAGAGGAGTGTTCTCAGGAGAGTGTCTCTCCTGGACTCATCGCTGGGGGAAGAGGAGCAAACCCCAGCCTCCCCGGGGCTGAGGAACAGATTCTCAAAGCCCTGTAAGAAGAGCTGGAGATCTGCACCGCGCCGCACCCCACTTAGGCGGCTCTGGGTGTCTAAGAGGGAGTCTGAGCTTTCACAACCTAGACGGAGACGCCCCTGCGTGCGGAGGGGATGGGAGTGCACCCAGCCCAAGAGGTGCACAGCGGTTCTGGATACGGGCACCTCTGCCTGGAGCAGCGGGGCGAAACGGGGCGTTCACCCTGCCCGTTTGCTGGGGCAGGCTCGGTGCAGCACAGCACGAGCTGCCCCTTCTCTTAGTCCCTCTGGGACAGGGGAGGGAGGGTGCTTCCTTTGGATGTGTCGGTAACCAGAGAAAGGAAGAGCTCTGCCTCCAGGCCACTTACCAGCAGTCTCGTCGTTAGAGCGTAGGGCGAAGGAAGATTTGCTACAAACAGAAGGGAAAAAGGCGTAAGACGGCATCTCCCGCCGAGCGCCCACGAAGCAGGCCAACGGCTGCCTGGCTTGCAGACGAGTCCCAAGCTCGCGCACCCCAGCGTCTGCCGGGGGAGGCCGGCACTGACCATTCAGGTCGTAACGGATAAGGGACGCGTTTTCTCCCTCCTCTTGCTTCTTCATGGCCAAATACATGAGGCTCTTGCAGAGAGGGGTCAGGGCGTTGGTGAACTGTATCGGGGTCACGAACTCCAGGAGGTACGGCCACAGAACCTGCCGGGAGAAGGGGAGCACGGCACTCGCCCTGCCTGCTGGCGCAGGGCACCCGGCAAGAGCCCGGCTGCGGGATGGAGACCCTGCTCGGAGCACGGGACCGAGAGGGAGAGGAGGGGGAGATGCCAGGTCGAAGGCCTTTCCCTGACGGGGAAAATCCCCAAGTCCCCTTAGGCAGTGCTGCTGTTCAGGAAGGGAGGGCTCTCCGCTGCCTGTGCTCTACTCCAGCAGCACCCCGGGGTGTTCCCTTTCATAGAATCACGGAATGGTTTGGGTTGGAAGGGACCTTCAAAGATCACCTAATCCAACCCCCCTGCCCTGGGCAGGGACATCTTCAACTAGATCAGGTTGCTCAGAGCCCCGTCCAACCTGACCTTGAATGTTTTCAGGGATGGGGCATCCACCACCTCTCTGGGCAACCTGTGCCAGTGCTTCACCACCCTCAGCATAAAAAAAGTCTTCCTTGTATCTAGTCTGACTCTACCCTCTTTTAGTTTAAAACCATTCCCCCTTGTCCTATTGCAACAGGCCCTGCTAAAAAGTCTGTCCCCATCTTTCTTACAAACTCCCTGTAAGTATTAAAAGGCCGCAAGAAGGTCTCCCTAGAGCCTTCCCCGGGCTGAACAACCCCAACTCTCTCAGCCTTTCTCCATAGGAGAGGTGTTCCATCCCTCTGATCATTTTTGTGGCCCTCCTCTGGACCTGCTCCAACAGGTCCATGTCTGTCTTGAACTGAGAACTTCCAGCACCACTACCTTGCTCCGGCCTTAGAGAAGCTCACAGGGAGGGTACACACGGGTCCTTGGGAGGACAGCTTCCCAAACCAAACCTCTGCCCTGCTCTTGGAGGGACGGGGATGGTGGCAATAGCTCCTACAAGGGCTGAGAGTGGTGACAACCCATCCCGCCTGGCATATGGGGCATCCTGCACGTCGCGCAGGTGGCGCGGGCTGTGCTGAGGGCAGTGTGGGACCCCCGGGACACGGTGCACGGACGGTGGCTCTGGGGCCAGCAACGACCGCCCCGAAGGCGAAGATGACTGGGCAGGCTCACGTTGTTCATCCTGTCAACAGTTGTGCTAAGCAGAAAGAGCGTATTGACGCTGATGCTCTGGACGCTGTCACTAGCGAGGTCATCGGCATCCGGCGGCTGCTTTTTGGGCTGCTGGAGGAGAGGGAAAGCGCAGGTCAGCACGGATGCTGCGGCAGGGCCGGAGGCAGCTGGGAGCCGCTCTGGGTGACTCCCTTCACGAGCATGTTTCCCAAGCCGTCGAGACGGCACGCCTGGCAAACAGCGTGCTGGGAGGAACGGGCAGAACCCGAAAGCCTCCTGGTTCATGGCCCATCTCCAGCACGTGCTCCAGCTCTACCCATGGAGCTCAGAGGGGCTGCGGGAGCTCCTGCAGCCCAAACCATCGCCCCTGCTCCTCTTTGAGGGGGAAAGGGATGATCTGAGCCCCAGGGTGCTTCCAGTCGTGCCTATGTCTCTGCAGCCCAGCTGGACAAGCGGGGCTGGAGGCAGCCAAGCCCCCACGTAAGGGAGCCGCCCCCACTGAGAGGGCAGCAGCCTGACCCAGCCTGGCTACGCAGGGGGTATGGAGCCGGGAGGAGGTGGAGGTCCTGCCAGTGCAGCCCCCGAGTCCTGGCTGGCGTCCTTTGGATGCAGGGAGATGCAGGGACAGCTGTCCCAACGGCATCTCTCCTGCTCCTGAGGTTTGCCCCCGCTCCTCCTTGCTCCAGAGGCAGGAACCGCAACACGCCAGCAGGGGAAAGACAGGGGGGAAGCTGCAGTGCTGCTGCAATGAGGGCTGGGGCAGTGGGGGTGGCAAGGGGGATATCCTGAGGGTCTGAGGTGGGCAGCGCGCACGGGGACAGAACTGTGGGGGTATAGTTGGTTTGGACGCTTTGGTCCTAGAGCAGGGGCTGCCCTGGGGAGGGTTCAGGGTCGAGAGGCCGCAGGCAAAGCGAAGCAAAGCGCACAGGCTTCTGCCAGCTGCGCTGCTCCGCTGAGGACAGCGGTGGCCAGAGGGTGGATGGGAGAGCTCTGCAGGCTGCGCTGCACATCCACAGACCTGGGTACTGGGCTGCCTCCACCAGGGGTCTGCCTAAATCGGTGCTGCAGGGAGCCAGAGATGTGCACAGCTGCAGACAGGGACTTGCCCAGTCCCACCTGGGTACCTTTCTTTAGGAGTTTTACCCCACCTGGATGTGCTTACCGCATCCGAGGGAAGGGCGCACTGCCGGACAAGTAACCCCACCTTCCCCCCCCCGCCGGGCTGCCCCAGTTAGCCGTGGTGAGCCATGGCGCTGATCACCTGCACCACAGCCCGCTTCACCTGCGCGGGCAGAGCAGCGACACCAGCGTCGGTGCGGGGCGGAGGGGAGAAGCTGCGAGCAGGGGGGTTTCTGCCTGCTGCAGGGTCCTCCTCACAGTTGCCCTTCGCCGCCTCCTCCTCCTCGGTAGTTATTACGGGTCTTACATACAGCCCTTCAACTGGGTTTGGGCTCTGCCAGCAGCAGCCGGGCACCGCACAGGACAGCGGGGTCAGCTGCCCGCTGCTCACGTCTGTGGGGCTGTCAGGAGGGGACTGGACAGGAGCCCACGGCCGCACCACCCGCCACACGCAGTTACATCTGGCAAAGCAAAGTTTGTGTTTTGCAAGGGGTGACGCGCCCTGTGACCGCGTGAGCTGAGTCATCAGCAGCCTGGTGCTCCTGGCAGCGCCGTGCATTTTCTTCACACGCGGCACTCCAGGCAGGGCCACGCTTCGCAGCAGCAACGCCCCCTGCTAGGCAGGGCTGCCTACACTCAGACATGCTCTTTGCGCAGGGCGCAGACGGAAAACGAGTCCCTGTGTGCTCCCCCGTTACTGGGAGGGTATCTCCTGGGCATGTTGGCGGAACTGCCAAAACACCAACCAGGAGAGAGATGAGCAACAGGAGGCGGCGGAGGACAGCCGGGCTGGCAGAGGCAGGGGGCACGGCTGCGCAGGGCCCCAGAAATAAACCCCCACCCCTGAAGTACCCCGCAGAAGAGCAGAAGGTCAGCTTACCTTATTGTTGCTGTCTTGCAGAGGAAGTTTCATAGATGAAAGAATGAAGGGCTTTTTAATCTCCATTTGAGAGGCTGAAAAAAAGAAGACAGACTCTGAAGCTCGGTGATGCTCTTGAGCCGCCAAGGACAGAGCCGCTGATCCCGAACATCCCCGCTTCCCCGACAGGGAAGGCTTTGTCCCTTGTCCCCCCTCCCAGCTGGCTGTGCCACCAGGCTGGTTTCCTTCTCCCCTGACCCTGCAGCCAAGGATGGGCTCGTCTCCTCATCCCAGGTCCCAGCAGGGGAACGAGGGGACTCGTGGAAAGGGACCCATCGGAAGAAGGGGAAAGCCTGCCTGGAGCCCTACGTGCACAAACTGCTCTGCGCCTTCCTGCTTTGAGATCCCAACAGGGACCGTGGCCGGCCGGGTGGCAGCTGCCCCGGTACTCACGGGCACTGTTGATGATCTGCCTCATGATGAGGAGCGTCCCCACACGGGTCCTCTCGTTGCTGCTCTCCAGCTTCGGGAGGAGGAAGGCCAGCACACGGTCAGGGAACGAGCAGGCTGTGGGAGCCAAACCAACCGTCACGGAGGCGCGTCGTCCCGGGGACGGCACACAGCCTGGAGATTCGGGATGCAGGCACCGCATCCCCCACGCAGGAGCATCCCGCCCCGCATATCCCCACGTGCCTGCTACGCGCAGCAGGGCTTTGCCCGCTGCATCAAACCGCGTGGAGTTTGAAAAGCACCGCTCCTCCTCTCCCGGCTGTGCGGGGCAGGCAGCTCCCCGGGGAAGCAGCCTGCTGCCATGCCACCCCGCGAGCCGGGCTAACCGGCCCGTCCCGCTCTTCACATCCAGACCCGAGCTTTTCTCGGGCGCTTTCAGCAAATTTCCTGCGCTCTCTAGGGAGCTGAAGGAGTTTAAATTATACCTTCCAACAAGTGCTGCCCCGTCTGTCAAAACATTTTGATTGTTAAAAATAAAACCAGTCTATGGATGCTGGAATTGGAGCAACACTCGTGGGCATTCGAGAGGCGTGTTTGGGGAGGGATGGGCAGCTCTGAGGCAGGGTAGTCTGAAGATTGCTCAGGCAAAGGCAGCTCAGCTGCAGGTTTGCCTTCACTAACGCTAGCAAGAAAGGGACATCACCCAGCCGTGAGCCAGCAGCAGCTTGTCACACCACTGCTCTTTTTCTGGAAATTGCACACGCTTCTGTCTGTGCCACAGCCATTCGGTGAGGAGAGCCCAAATTGGGGGAGACAGGGCTCCAGCCACAGAGCTCCACGCACAGGCCGGGAACACGTAAGCTGTAGGTCAGCCCACTTCTCCTGCTCAGTCCGACCACAGGGGACCCCGCTGTGCTCTGAACGTTTGCAGTAACCCGGAGTAACAACAACTGCATTAGCTGTACACAAGATACAGCAACAAGGAGTACAGATGAGCGGGGTACCCCCAAAATCGAACTACATCTACTGCCCCTGACCACAGGCACGGCATGCTGCAGAACCTGGCTCCTGGAGAGGTCTCAGTGGGCTGGTACAGCTCCAAAGGCTCTGAAGAAACCTTTGAAACCGAGCCAGGCGCCTTTGGGAAGGTCCCTGGAAGGGGATGCTCAGGCCTGAGCCAGCAGTGAGCTCCAGGGGAGCGGAGTTAGCCCCATGCTCTTCCTCAAAGAGCTCCAGCGAGAGATGCTCTCCCTGGACGCCAGCCTTTAGGGACACGCAAAGCTACTTGCCTTCTGCAAGCCTGAAGCCACGGGCTAGAGCCAGGACAGGAACCACCACCCTCCCCTCCCTCTCATCTCCCCACGTGGCCAAGAGATGTCTACGGTATCCCCCAAGCCCAGCTGAGACCAGGGGGAACAAACCCCTCCATTCACCACGCACAGCTCCTTGGAGAGGACCGCGAAACACCAGGAAAAACACCAGCCACGGTGCAGCACACCCACACCTCTCCAAGGGGTTTGACCTGCAGGCGCAGGCGGCTTCGGGACAGCCACAGCACGTCATCCCTTACCCAGGACAGTGAAGCATCGAAGAACCTCAGTGTGATTTTTAACAGTCAGGGGGACAGATGGATCTGCAGGAGCACAAATCTGTTGGAGAAACAGCTGTGGTCAGGGACGTTACCTGGAACAGGCGCTGGCAGGCTGCAGACCCAGCCCCGGAGAGGCAGAGCTGTGCTCGGCACAGGCGCGGTGCCGAGATTCGGGACAGACAAAGCCCTGGGCTGGTGGGTGCCAGCATCCCACGACACGGATGCCCAGAGCGGTGCTTTCTGCCCGCTGCTGGCCGAGCAGAGCTCTGCCTGCGCTCGCAGCAGGTCAAGTCATCTCAGGGAGACCGCTTGGGAACAAGGTGCCTGCTCAGGAGCTGCGGGCTCCTCTGTTGTTTAAACACGTCCCACCACCCAGCCGGGACCACTGGTCACCTCCTCTGGAACTTCTTCAAAATTAGTGAACCCTTCCGGGTGCTATTAAAATAATTCAGTCTCTTAATTCAATTTACGTTGCAGCAAGAGCGACGTGCATCTGGTTACTCCGGTCTGCCAAAAAGACACTTGGGTCTGCAGCTGAGCCAGAGCTGCTGCGTGAGGCCAGCCATACCCCGCAGCCCCAGAGCTGCCCCTCTGCAGCCATCAGCAGCTTTTCCCTGTCGGAGCCCGTCCTCAAGAAGCAGCTCCTACAAACGGCACCGTTGTTGTATTTGGTTGTCATGCATCACTTTGGTAAGCGGACAGCCTCTCTGCTGGACACTTCCAAGAGTCAGTTAAGTATTAAAAAAAAAAAAAGGTGTTCAGACCTGTTTTCAGCCCCAGGAGCATGATTTTAAAAGTTCAGTAATACAACGGACCTTGCACCCCTGTGGCTGAAGAACGGCTGAGGAGGAGACCGGGCTCAGCAGCCTGAGAAGGGCTCCTGCACGCCGCTGCACGGTGACTGCTCCGTGGCGAGTCAATGCCCTCGCTTATTCTCAGAGAGCAAACTTTTTAAAAGGTCCATTGATTTTGAGGCGTTTGTTTTCAATCTGCTGCCTAACTGTACAGCCAGAGCCGCTCTCACTTCAGACAACTTGACTGGGCGTGCGACTCCTTCCATATATCATATACCAGAGCCCGAGAGCTGGCAGCACCACTGGTGAGCAGCAGAGAAGCTGAGAGCCTCAGAGGAGCACGACCAGGGGACAGAAAAGCCGAGCAGGCTGCACGCCCCGATCTCGGGCTGATCCAGGGGAAGCCTTGAGCCCTGCAGACCGAGCTCACGGCCAGGCCCCAGCGTTACACCTCACAAGAAGCCCACCTTCCCCCCGCAGCACCCTCCTGAGGCGGGTGAGGGCGGCCGCTCCCTGCCCAGGCCTTACCTGGGGGTGCAGGGTACCCAGGAGAGAGTCCAGCTGCACATCAAGGCTGCGGCTGCCGATGTTGACAGAAGCTTCCAGGATCTGGCAGAGGCTCTGCTCAGCGAGAGACCAGGTTGCAGTTAGCATCAGGAAAATACTTGGGCTCCAGAGGAGGACAGAGGATCGGGACCCCCGTGCTACGCCAGCCCAAGGGGAGGGACTGCAGGCAAGAGCAGGGATCACGAACCCACCACGGCGGCAGCGATGAGCATAACCCGCCTGGGGGACACAGCTCGGGAATTCCCAAGAGCTGCCTCTTCCCCCAGAGCCGTTGCAGGAGGCCATGAAGAGGCACGCTGGCCGTTGCCAGCCACGGCAATGTGCTGGGTGCATGGTGAGAACCAGGCACACGGCAGGGTGCCCGGAGATGGCAGCAGAGATGGGCTGCAGCCCGCTCCATCCTCCCAGATCGCTGGGCACAACCACCTGAAGCTCGGGCTCAGTAGCAAGAGGGATCACGACGCAGGGAGAGGGAATCTCACATGGAAAAGGCAGTTGCAGCCCAGTCCAGCTGGGCGGAGGCATGGCGTGAGCTGTGTGACACCGTCGGTAAGGTAAGGACTAAG